GCGCAAATGCAAAAAAAAAAAATATATATATACAAAGAAAAAATTTATACGCGCGTTATATATACAGGAAGCACTGATATATGCGCAAATTTAAAGTCTATGTACGCTGCGCCTACTGCGCCGATCCAATTTACATAATGTCGTAATACCGTAATGCCGTATAAACTTATATAGTACTCATATCTGATATGGGCTTATTTGACTTGAATCATATGTTGAGTATCGCTAAGGGAAACCAGATTTCAGGATTACAGGTTTATTTTTTGTCGAACTCAATTACTATAAACTCTGATATACTTGGATTGATAAATAAACTTCAAAGCCCGAAGTCTGATTTCGCTCACAAATTTAAGAGGGCTGTGTTACGAAAATTACTTCACATTTCAAATTTTTTTTTTTTTTACTTAAAGCTTCCGTAACTTAGATTTCATATGATGAATAAATTAACTGCATTAGACTATCGCAATTCAATATCCTTGGCCTTCTAAAGATTATTTGTTAATTCGAATCCAGATTAATTTTATTATCGGGATCTCTATATTTTTTATTTGACAGTCCAAAATTTATATAGCGCTTTGCAAAAAGGTGCGACCCCCATGATTTTTGTGATAATGTTGGAAAAATTTTTTAATAGAGAATCTAAATAAAAAATTTAACCGATTTCATCACATAAATACTTAGAGAATTCTTTTAACTTCTAACACTTTTTTTTTTTTTTTTTTTTGATCCGCTTCTTTTTTGATATTTTTTTCTTTGATCTGGTCCATTGTTTCGCGTTCTTTTTTTATCTGATCAATTTTTTCTCGTGTTTTCTACAATCCAGTCTGCTTTTTCGTGTTCTTTTTTTTATCTGCCCAACTTTTTCTTGTTATCTACAATTCAGTTCGTTTTTTCAGGTTCCTTGTGTTCTCTTCAATCTGCTTTTTCGTATTCTTTTATTTGAGTGCTTTCGTGTCTTTTTTATCTGATTAACTTTTCTTGTGTTCTCTTTGGACCTGGCCCTCTGTTTCATGTTCATTTTTATTCGATCTACTATTTTTTGCATTTTCTTTGATTTGATCGTTATACTTGTGTTTTTTTAATCTGACCAGTTACTTTGTGCTCTCTTTGCTTTTACTTGTTAAATATGAGTAATACAGACCACGTTAAAAAAAGATGCAATTGTTATAAAGGTTGGTTTGCAGACGAATATTTTATCAGGATAAAAAACAAAGTTGTTTAATCATACAACAGATATAGAACATCAATTGGCAATAATATTGTTAACAAAGTAAGAAATTTAGCTAAAATAATAGTATGAATAAGAATTTTAGTTTTTATAGTTTTAGTAGAAGTTAAACTTTTTTTAGTAAACTCTTTTATACTATTTGGTATCTAAGTTAAAAGAAAAAGTGTTTCTAGTAGTATAATATTTTAGCAAAAAAGATTTATTATAAAAAAGTTGAATATAAACTTTGTAATATATTCTTTTGAATACAACCAAGTATTGATAAAAGCAACAAAACAAACATAATTTTAAGAAATTACTACTACATAGTTGGATTATGAAACAAAATTTCATTGATACTTTTAAAGAAATATATCTTAATAAAAAAAGTTTTTTATAGAGTAATAAAAAGGATAGTATAAGAATAGACTAAATTTGAATTTCAGAAAGTTTAAACTTTAGTCTTAAAGAAGTTTTAATCAAAGATATGATTACAGAAATAAGTAGTAACTATGGTTTAGTAGTAGTAGAAATATTAATAGATCATTTAGAGTTTAAAGATAGTTTAGTACAGATCAGAAAGAAAGAAATCAAAAAAACAATTTTTCTATATAATAAAGTAATAAAGAAAAATTAGAATAATTACAAAAATAAGTTACTATATTTGTTAAAGAAAAAGCTAAATAGAAAGCTTTGATTAAAAGAACCTTTTGATAAAAACAATAATAGATCCTAGATACTATTAATATAGATAAAGAATAGAACAACATATATAATAATATCAAGTAAGTAGTTGAAGATAAGATCTCTCAGAAAAAAGTACTAAACTTAAATTGCAACAGAGCTTCAAAAAAAATCTGCTCAAAATTGCTAATGTAATAAATAGCTTAAAAAAACTAGTTAAAAAATATAAAAAAAGAAAAAAGAACTAGTAAAACAAAAAAAAATCCAGTATCATATAAACAGCATAGCACAAACTACAATAATAAGATCATAAATGATTTTTACTCAAACGCCTTTTATTCAATTTACTATTAACATTAAACAGACATTTAAATGCTAACTTTTGAAATTACAGTAAAAATATCCCACCATGACATAAACAAGCTCTTTTACAAGAGTAAGACCAATTCCAGTACCTATGACTACGTGATTGTTGAGATTTTACATGATAAAAATGCTGAACAATTCTAACACCTAAATTAGAATAATTAGAACAACAATAAGTAAGTACGAAATTGAACTATATGGTTTGGTCCCAACTCATAAGCTCCGAAAGCTTGAAACCTATTTGTATCTTGTCTAATTTACTAGAATAAATTACTCAATAGCTTTCTCTTATTCCATGGCTTTACCTCAAAAGCAGAGATTCGGACACCTCGATTGCGAATTTGGGCTTCCATGCGTCGAGCTTTTGAGGTTTTAATGTGAGTCGCTTAATAAAGATTATATAGTCTAAAGCCAAAAAAAACTTACTGGTATTATTAAATGGCACCCTTTTTACATTACTATACGTTATGAAACGGCAGTATAACTTTGGGGGCGTGATTATTTTTAGCTCTCTCTCTTATTTTACTTTAAACTTAAATAAGCGAAGGTATTTATTATAACGAATTGTCAAACCTTGACACATGAGGGCAGTTCTCTTTTAGGAACGTCTAAAAATAACGATATAAAAGGGTCCACTGTTACACTTTACTAATAAAATCGAACCTCTCATAGTAAATGTCGATCACTTAAATTATATATAAAAAAATTTACTCCCATGATCTGCGTGACAAATCGTGTGACTATAATTTTGTAAATCTCTTTTTCAGCTTGATTAATAAGTTGGTTAAGTAGTTAAGTAGAAATAGATTTTTTGAAGATAGCTTTATACTCTTCATTTTTTTCAAAAGAAGAATTATTAAAAATTAGTTATTTTCAGATTTCATTATCTTTTTTGAAATAGAGTTCATAAGAATACTCTAATGTTTATTTAAAGATATTAGAGAAATTATGTTGTTTTTCAGTAAGAAGTATGCATTCTTCATTACTGATTATTAATATATTAAAGTTAGCATATCTAATGCTTTATCTCTTCTTTCCTGAAATATTTGTAATTCTGATATATTATATTTTTGAGGTAGAAGTTTTGTTAGTTAGAAGATAAACTATTATTGAAATTAATATTTTAGAGTATTATAAACTTTTGTTTAAAAGCTCATCAAATTGATGATTATAAGTCATAAAGAATCCTTTAAACCATTGGTTAAAGTGTTCTAATAAGTTTTTAAAAGAGGAAATGTTAAATTTTTCAAGAAAAAGTGTTTTAGATCGATTAAAAAGAAGATAAATATTAAATTTTTTGGGGTGGCACTTATTTCATCGACACTTATTTTATCGACTGTGTCATTTCACCGACATTTTAGCCCGATTTAGGGTTAGGGTTTGGCCAGTTTTATATTTTCGGTGAAATTATTGTCGGTGAAATAATATGGACCCAATTTTTTGTTAAGATATAACTTAGTAAGTATAAATTACTTTAATCAGTTTACTTTAAATTAATTGAAGTTTTATTATGAATATTCTAAAAGAATTTTAGTTAAAAAATATATATAAGCAGTTTTAAATCACATCGGCCGATTTTTTTTTTTTTTTTTGGTCTATTAATAGATGTTGAAAAATGACAAACGAAACGCGTCATAATCAATAAAAGAGCTTTTTTAATGCATATAAAAAAGATAAAAAGCAAATAAAACAGCTATACTAAACTGTAGAAAGAAATACCATACCTTATTGTTAAGACGTTCGGGTATTTAAGAATTGATTGAAGATTAGTTGAATAATGTCAAGGATGGATTCGGAAGCAATTTTTAAGAAAACGTCCAAAATAACGCGCCCCCTATATATTAACGTAAATAAATTGGCATTAAACTCACGCTCTATTTTAAGGGTATTGAGGAAATAATTATAAATAAAATCAGATTTGGTAGTTTATTTCGCAATAACGCACATGCACGTACGTACTCGAATTAACGCGCATAGATTCGAAATAATGCGTTATTTCGCGAATATACGGTAATTTTAACCTATAATTAAATACAGTACGTAGATAACATCATTTTGATGTATTTAATTATAGGTCCGAAGTAAGTTAAAAAAAAAGCCGTTCTTTTAAAATTTTCTTTGTTAAAAAATTTTTATCCGATTATCTTGAGTAAACAATAATTTTATTTGGCAGGTGAAAAAATCATATGTGATCTTACGGATCACAGGATGATTATTTCACCTGACAAATAAAAGAAGTATCTGGTTTTGAGTTTAATGTGCCCCGAAGGGGCTCAGATTGTCAAACACATTAAATTCAAAGCTAAATGTGACTGTTATTTGGTGTGAAACATTCACTAACCGATTTATTTTTATTTTTATTTTAATAACAAATAAATAATTTATTAGCTTTAAAATTTTTTTGATAATAATTTATTATTTTCGAATTAGAACTAGGTTAAATTATAAAAATTTAAATATTTTATTATTATATATAGAGTATATTATACTAAATAATAAAAAAAAAAAAAAAAAAATACAAAAATTAGAATAAAAAAAGTTATATTACTTCGTGGTTAGATTTAAGTATGACCCTAAGTTCTGCCAATGGAAAACCTGTTCAATGTGACGGCTTTTTTGATTCTCTATTGAGTTTAATAGTATCAGTTCTGACGCGCGTGATAACAACCTCATTGCTCGATCAACCTCATAAAATAATATAAAAAACATTTTATATAAAATCTAATTAATTATTTTCTTCATATTATTTTTGAGTAGTAGCATTTCTAAGATCTTTAACAATATTTCTACATCTTTTTCTCATTTCACGACCGATTGGAATTTGATCATTATCAAGTTCAAAAACTGAAGAAAGTTCTATTTCATCATCGTGATCATGTGTTTGATAATATTTAATAACTTTTCGATATAGTTGTTCGGTTATCGAGATAACATAGATACCACATTCTTTGATATGAGGTTTGAAAACAAAGTTATTAAAATTGAAAGCTAAAAATCGATTAAAAAAAAAAATTAAAAATAACATACCGTTTCCTTTGATATGATAATAAATTCGGTTGAAAAAAAAAACATTTGATTAATCATTGTGAATATAAATCACCAACAAAAATCTCCGTTATTTACCATTCTCTTGAAGAGGTGTTTTCATATTATGAAACGATGATCCTATAGAATAATAATTCAGCCTTATTCTTTTTATCTATTATTTATTAAACAACTTATATGAACTATTTTTTTTTATTTATTTTTTTATGATACCAGTAACACCAAGTACTCCAGCAATTCTAACGGCATTAGATTTAGCAGCTTCTGTATTCATTCCATTAGCACTATCATAATGTAAGAATTTATTAGTTTTTCTAATAAATATTAATAAACTCCAATGATTTCCACCACGAGCTTTGGTCACATCGTTATTATCATTTACTATCATGAATATAACTTGCGCCGTAAAGATCTGTTTAGGAAGTGCGCCAGCAAGGAATGTAGAGTCTAGTATAAGATATCATATAAAAAAAAAAAAAAAAAAAACAATAACAAAATACAGAAGATTTAGATAAGAATTGATCATACAATAAAGATGCAATAAAGATGAAAGTGATATAAGACAAGACACCTTGAATATTAGATATTAAAAAAGTAAGAGCAGCCCTAAGAAGGAAAACTTTTGATCGAGAAATATCATCTTTTGAGGTTATATTATGATCAAGATATCTGTATAACATAATAACATAATCGATTTAGACAAATTGGTCACCAAGTATGAAAAAAAAACATTATGAAAAAGGCTTACTCTATAAATAAATCGATACATTTATCATTAAGCCAACGTCCATCTTCGAAAAGTTCAACATCCTTTTAAGAAAATTATTAAACAATTTTATTAAATGTAATTTAGAAATACGTTTAAAATATATTACCTCCAAATCAACATCGGCATCATAATAAGTTAAATATTTAGAAGACATAATTTCTAACAAAGTTAGAACGATAATAAAAAAAAATAAAAAAAAATTTACATTCACACAAATATTTGTTATCGTTATACGAAATTTGTGTGTAGATCAATAGATCAAATTCGAAAGACAGGTGAAACATATTTATAGTAAATCTTGAAATTTTATTTTCTTCTAAACTATAATAGTAATAATCTTTGAGTGACGTCAAGGAAAAACCAGGCTTCGATAATCAACCTATCAAAGATTGAGTCTGGTAAGTTATAAATTTAAAAGCGGTTTTTCCTTGGCGTCACCTATACATATATCAATGAATGGTATATAATACTAAAAAATTATTCAGGTAAACTCTTAATTAGAACAAATTATGGTTAAATGCTATTCTGTTTTACAAAGTAAACACTAATTCAAAAGATTGAAAAATATTTAAGTTGAACAAATGAAACTTGTCAAGTTTATTAGGAATAAGTTTCTACAAAGTAAAATAAGCAAAAAAAAAGAATTTAAAATGAAATAAAATCGTTGATAAAAATTTAAAATATCAAAGTTACGATCATGTTTTTTTTTGAATGATTTAAAGCAATCTTGATGAAAAAGAAAGATTTCTACAAGCTCTTTTGATATATTAAAAATGATGTGAAGGATGATATAATTTACTAAAAATGTAAGCATCATCCGATTTCTACTTTTTTAGAACGATATATGAAAGAATTCAATTTAGACTACATAATTTAAAGGAATCCTTAAAATACCTATTCCTCAATTTTTTTTTTCTTTTGATGTCCTTTCTCTTACCGATTTTATTAATTTATTAACGATTATTATCCACCTAAAATACATCAAATTTTAACGAAAAAAGGTGATTAATTATTAAGAAAAACGCGTCATTTTTGAAACAAGAAATATAAGCTAATATTAAATATCATGTCTTTTAAAGATGGATAAAGTAGGTATAAAACGTCGTCGCAAATCCGATAAAATCAAGAACGAGGAGGCTGATGTTGGAGAATCATCGAATATTCAAAAATCCGTAATGTCAGATTTAATTGGTGACATAGATGGTAGTAATTCGGAAGCTAAGAAGAAACCCAATAAATTAGGTAATTCACATGAGTTCTCTTTTTTTTTTTTTTTTTAACCAAACAGTTATCACATCTCTAAAATTTTCCAAATTTTAATTATTAACTATTTAAATAGCCTGGACTAAAGATCAAAGAATTCAATTATTTGAAGCAATCATTAAACGATTACCCTCACCTTTGGATTGGAAAGAAATTGCTGAGGATGTTGATGGAAAATCTCATACTCAATGTTATGATCAATGGCGTAAAAGAATGTTGTCAGATTTAAAGAAGTCCGTTGCTTCTGAATGAAGTGATAGATATATATATTATATTTTTTTAATTCGTTTTTACAAATGTTTTCACAGTAGAGAATTATATAATTGGGAAAATATAGTAAACAAAAATTTTATATTACATAATTTTTATTATAGTATCTCTTGAGAATTCATATTGCGTATGCAAACTTCCAGTTTACATGTTTACATGTAAAAAATACGCGTCATTGTCAGGATCTTGTAAATAAAATATATTTCTAATGAATATCGCCGTTAGATTAGTTCTTCGCTATTATATTAGGTCAGTAAACTCTTGACTATATTAAATTTTCAAGGAAAGCCTTTTTATTTGTGCGCAGAAGGCATTTTCATAGGCAATCTTGCGATTTTCATATTAGTTTGCGTTTTTTTTTTTCTTTTAGGTTATGCTTGACCAGCGAGTGAAATTTTTCAAAAATGTATAAACAGATCCAATTAATTAATTATTAAAAATATTATGAAGCATTGCTTTTATCAATATTTTTTGCAATAAAAAAAGAACTGCCACATAAGGTGTAGAACATGTACATAAATAGCTTTTAACAAATAGAATATTCAAGTAATGAAAAATATAATAATCAGATGCCCTAATTTAAAACTATTTCCTTTTAATATTCTCTACTCAACCATTTCTTCTATAACGTCTTTATCTCCTGCTTCCTCTTGGATTTCCATTTGTTTCATCATTTGTTTATCCTTAACAGCTAAAAAAAAAAAAAAAAAAAATTATTATTAATATTTATGTGAAAAAGCTAGATTTTGTTGGAGCCTAAAATATACCTGATTTACGCATATTATCCAGTTCTCTACCAAGCTCTGCAATTTTTTTATCATCATATATCTTCCGGAAAAATATAAAAACATCATTTTCTTCCAAATCAGAATGTTGAAAAAATTCCTATATATTTTTTCATATTTATTAATAAAAATATAAAAAATGAAAACAACTAATAAATGGGAGAAAAAAAAAAAAAAAAACCATCATCATCTTATTTAAGAAATTCGTAAATAACACGGAATCAACCCCCTCGTCTTGAAGCAGGACATCTAGCTCATACAACGCGGATTTAACAGTTTCATGATCCATTAAACTTGTCCTGACATATTCTTGTCCCTTCTCCGATCCACAATCTCTCAAGGCAGGATAAAAAATTAGTTCTTCGATCATACTATGAATATTTACACCTTTCAATATTTCTTTAGCAATTCTTTCTCGATCACAAGTAGAAGTTGTGGCATTAAATTCTTGATAAAGTGATTTTAATAAATCATGATCACGCTTCAAAGAATTTAGAATATCGGGTGGTTGACCTATGAGTCCTGTTTCGAAGATTGATGCATTTGGAGTGTTTGTTAGAACCGCATCTGTTGCTTCTGTAAGAATAGGCATCGTTTTTTGTTTTTATTCGTGTTTGATTTTTTTTTATCGTAAATTTCTCGGTTGGAAAATAAGATAATTGAATTTTTTGAAAAATCTCTAAAGGTAAAAGAGCTCTTTTAAATATCCTTTTATGATATTTTGTATATGTTAAAATATTATGAATGAATGTTGTAATTATTTTGATATGATGTTTTTATGATGTAAGATGAAATCATGAATAAAGTCATTAAAAAAAAAAATTGTTTCTTATAACAAATTTAAAAATGCCCGACTTTTAATTTTTATTATGACCAGTTCTCTCAGATTTTAATTTTCGCGCTAGTTAAACACTTATAGGTTTTTCTTAAAAATTTATATAACCTGATCTGGTCAGGTTATATATACGTATACGTATAATTGTCTACTTGATTTTTTTTTTACTAGCTTATAATAGGTATTATGACATACAATTTGGATATCGAAAAAAAGAATTTTTCTTAAAATTTTCGCGTTAACATACAAAAAAAAAAACTTTTGTAGATGATCAAATCAATACGTGAAAATTTGGTCAAACTGTGTATTGCATCATATAATACATTGTTATTGCTCTAGACTAGGACAATTATTTTTTGCTATTATCGTTATACTATATAATTTGTATTTTTTAATATATTATTGGTTATATTTTAACCCTCGAAATTTTAATTAAAAAAACCCCGAAAAATGTGTACCCTGAAATCAAACAAAGCGACACTAAGGATAACGAGATTAAATTAAATATTAATTTTTTTCATTTTTAATATCATGCGTACTTCATCAAAAAAAATTTAAAAAAAGCTTCATTAAACTTGGCTGGTTTACCAATCCCACTTAGCAAATTCCTCCACCAAATATAACGATAACATCTATAAATAAAAAAAAATTTTTACAAAAATTACATTTGGAAATGTAATTTAAATGTGAACCTAATATACAAAGTTTCTTAAATTAGTCAACCGAATTTCAAGAAATATATATGAAAATTCGAAAGTTTTCTTCAAAGGCGATAAGATTATTTTTTCCGAAAGTATAACTGTATCCATAATCAAAAAGTAAAAAATAAATCATGAGATCAAA